CCATCACTTTAAACAATAGATCTGAGATATCTAAAGCGTTCACACCTTCTAATAATTTGATCACCCATAGTAACATTTCCGTCACCAGAGCTACTACTACTAAAATTACATTCCATATATTCAGTTTTAGTTCTAATCCAATGAAGGCCTTTAGACCCCAATGCAGACCTCCATAATTCAAGTTTTTCCTAAGCTCTCTCTCTCGTCTTATACACGAGAAGGATATCATCAGCAAAAAGCATAGACAAAGGTACATTTTCCAGTAAAGGTCCAGCAAGACCATCCATAACTAAAGCAAAAAGATATGGGCTTAAAATCGATCCCTGATGTAATCCAACAGAACTAGGAAAATATTTGGCCAATCCTCCTTCTGTTCAAACACAAGAAACAACTCTAGTACATATCTTTAATGACTCAAATATAAGTCATATCAATTACCTTTCTTCTCAAGAACTCTCCAAAGGATATCTCTTGGAACCTTATCATAAGCTTTTTTTAAATCAATAAAAATCATATGTAGATCCTCCTTATTATTTCAAAACTTCTTCATTAAACCTCTCAATAAATGTATAGCTTCCATAATAGACCAACCCGGCATAAATCTAAATTGATTATGAAAAATCTTTGTAATACGTCTTAATCTATGTTCAATTACTCTCTTGCATAACTTTAAAGTATGAAACATCAACTTAATTCCTCTATAATTTGCACACTCTTTTGCATCTCCTTATTCTTAAAAATGAGGGACCAAAATACTCTTCCTCCACTCCTCGGGCACCTTTTTAGTATTTAAAATAATTTTAAGAGTTTAGTAAGCCAAGAAACTCCCAAATCTCCTATATATGTCCACACTTCAATTCAGATGTCATACAAACTTTCCACCCTTGGTTTTCTTTAAAGCTCCATCAACTTCTTTTTACTAATGTGACGGCAAAAATAAAACGTTTTATTATTATTAACGATATTAAGATCACTGAGGTCAATATTATTTTCAGAAACTTCATTAAAAAATTTATCAAAATAACTCACCCACATTTGTTGAATATCTTTTTCTCTAAGAAAAACAGTTTTTGATTTTCATCTTAAACACACTTTACTTGAGTTAAATCTTTACTTTTGTTTTCATTATGTTTGGCTAGTTTATACATATATTTTTCACCCTCCTTAATATCTAATATATTATAAAGATCACTAAAAGTAAAATTTTTAGCGTCGCAGATTGTTCTCTTAGACACCCTACGGGGCCCTTTGATATTTTTCCCAATTCTCTAAGCTTTTACATTTGAACAAATTTTCATAACATAACTTCTTATATTTTATCTTTTTTCTGCATATCTTCTTATATTTTATCTTTTCTTGCACATTATTATTTCACCACCAATTATTTTTATTTATAATTTTTTTTTATTCTCCAAGCAATTTTATTTATAGAAAATTTTTCTTTTAATTCTCCAAGTATAATTCTCCAAGTATATTTTTTATCACTTGTTTAATAGTGTTTGTTACTTTATCCCACATAGAATTTGCTTCTTCATGAACATCTAAAATTTTGAAATGTTGAATTTTACATGTTGAATTTTACTAATAAAAATAATTTTATTGTCTTTTAGGTACCCCATCTATTTCTACGACAATGACTCCTATTATTCTTTATTTTACAACTCTTCATCTAAAATCTCACTTAGAATGACCTTACAATCTTTACATTCTCAACGATCACCTTACAATCTTTACATTCTCGACGATCATTTCTTCTCATAAGAAAATAATCAATTTGTATTTTATTAGATCAATTATTATATGTAATAATATGTTCATCTCTTTTCTTGAATAAAATAATAGCAGTAACAAAATCATACACTAAAACAAAATCCAATATGGCTCTACCTTCTTCATTACTCACTCCAAAACCGTAGCCATCATCAATATTTCTAAACTCTTTTACATCTTCATTAATCTCTCCAAAATCAGAACCATCATAAATTCCTCCAATAAAAATTCTTTTTTGAAAGTTGTCATATGTATTAAATCTTCTAGGTCATTACAATATATCTAAACCTACTTGAGAAACATAAACAATTATAATATTAAAAATCTTAGTATCAACAATAATCTTAAGTGTTATAATTTTAACTTCAATTCTATTAATTTTTACAACATTATCTTTCAAACTCTTATATATAATTACATCTACAACATTTCTAACGTGATTCTTACCTGAATACCAAAATTTAAAACCTAAGTTACAAATCTGCTTAGCCTTTTCTCCAACTCATTTAGGGTTCGTTTGGGGCAGCTTATTTGGTGCGGTGGCGTTTTGAAAACGCAGCTGGCCTAATTGGGTAAACTGCGTTTTGGCAGCTTATGCATTTTCAAAATGCTGAAAACAGCATTTTCAAACCGCACTTATTAAGGTGCGGTGCGGTGACAACTTTCTGGCTGCGACCTGACTTTTCAAAAAAAATAAAAATTTGTAATAGCCACCGAACCTAACTTATCAGTAGATTATTTTTAATCAACTTATCAGCAGATTATTCCATAAGTTGCAGCTGCCCCAAACAAACCTTAGTTTCTTGAATACAAAAGATATTTATCTTTTTATGACTCATAATATCAAATAATTTCATTAATTTACCCGAGAAAACATGTATTCCAAGATCCTATCGTAATATTATTTTAATTGACTAACTTTTTTACCTACATCCGTCCGTAACGTGGAAACCATTGCTTATTTGACGCTACACGAGCGTAGGTGTAATGGCCCTTGCACACTTTTAACTGTATTCAGGCCATAAAGCATGTCGCTTCCAATGGACGCCCTAATATTTACAAAATGATCAAGGAAATTCATGTCATGATTTTTCAACATATTTTACGCTTGTTGTCAACAACCTAACACAACCCTCCACTTTTTTGACAAGTTTTGTTGAACATATTAGTTTCGACTCTAAAATCAAAAAACACAAACCGAGCAAGCTATTGCTTCAAAACTAAACCATGAAGGCAAAATCTATAACAATATTATATTAAGATAGCAATCTCAAATGAGTCATGTTCAATTTTGACCATTTAAGTGAAACAATGATAAAGTAGCATAGTAGCTAAAGCTTAAGATTTGTTGAACATATCAATTTCGATTCTAAAATCGAAAAAATCAAACCGACCAAGCTATTGCTTCAAAACTAAACCATGAAGGCAAAATCTAAACCAATATTATATAAAGATAGCAATCTCAAATGAATCGTGTTCAATTCTCACCATTTTAGTCATACATTGATAAAGTAGCATAGTAGCTAAAGCTTAAAATGTGTTTGTACAGC